AGACTGGTTGCTGTCAAGCTGTCAAACTCGCGCCATTGCGCCTCTGCGTCTCTCTGCGGCTGAGAGATACAGCGCATGCGTATTGAGGACGGGCGTCGTCGGGTCCGCTAAACCTGCCGGGTGGCGTGTCCCGGCCTTTGTACCGTCGATAAAACCCTACGCGCGTACTACCTAGATGTGGCACTGAATTGGCTCAAGGGTTGCTCGGCCCGACGCTCCGGGCTCATGTTCATAGGTATCACGTTCGTATACCGTATGCAGGCACGCGGCGCTGCGCTGTCGGTTTTCCGGTTTACGCGATCATCATGCTCGGCACGCTTCAGCGTGCACTGCTGAAGCCATCGTTCATCAGAGGGCTAATAAGCTCAAAATCATTCATGCATACTCGTTCGATCACTTTAACTTAGCTATCCCATACTAGTACGCCGACTCGGACCATTAGACTCAGTAGGTCTACCTATATTGCAGGCAGTGAAAGTAGAAGTCTCTCTGAATGTGCATAATGTGCAGCACTCAAGATGCTCCGGCTTTCCTCCATGCTATTGCCGTGGGTGACTCGACAACTTTCTGAGGCGAACCTCATCCGCTTCAGCTAGTTATATGTACAAGATATGTACGAATTAGCTTGTACGAAACCGGACGCTGAAGCCGGACGCTGAATGAAACTTGTCTGCGGGAGCCAGGAAGTTCATGGGGGTTATCCTGACTGACATGCCCGAAAAGCTAGAAGGCAGAATTCATGTTTCGTAGCCTTTCAGTTGAGTTTGTAAAAGGCTCAATCATGGAAACGTTCCACTGAAGTAAAGTTCCACGTGACTAATTCAAAGGAGAAAAGAGCTCTGCCGCGCGCAACAAGCATAAATTTATTACATCTTATATTCTCACTCCGTTTTGCCTCTTGCCTCCACTCCTCCACGTTACCAGAAGTTGGTTCCACGTATGCAAGGCCGGGGGCCAAATCGTGATAGCCCAATCTGGTATGAGGAGTGGCCGTTTGGTTTGAGAGACATCGAGACAACACTGACCAGGTTATTTATAGTACACTTGCGCACCACGTGCTAATCACGTCGCGAACCTTGTCATCGCTGCAGAGGACTTCTATTGCAGTCGCTCAGGCCACCGGTCGCCAAAGAGGAAGAGCCGACGTGCCTACTACCCCACTAGATTGCGATTCCCCGGTTCTAAGCTTTGAGTGCGCCGGCAGGAGCCGCCTCCAAGTCGCCCTTCGTGACGTCAGCCGCCACGTCAGCCGCCCCGACGTCCTTCTCGAGGCCCTCGTCTTCGAACTTGTACTTGTTCAGAGTGCCCCGCTTCACTTTGACGGCGACGATTACGAGAACCAGCAGCCAGTAGGCGATGTATGCGACCACTTGGATGATGGTCGGATCGCAGACGTAGCCCACTAGTGCTCTGGCCAACTCGAAGAAGCCTTGGTCCTGTAGGCAAGGAGGTTTAGAAGTTCGTTAGCCGTTAATCCACCTGAGATTCCTTTGTTTACGAGGCCTTTTTATTTCCGGTCAAGTTGTGTCGGCTGGGCTCAAGCTTTGGTCCTGTGGGAACGGAGATTGAGGGAGTGAAGCAGCTGTTAACCACAGAAAACCCAGAGATGTTCGTAAGAGACGCGGCCTTCCTCCGCTTGAAAGATGATGGATCTGGGCACAGGGTCAAAACTGATTGCGAGCACATGAATCTCTGACGGATTATCACCTCGCGGATGCTCCTTACTTTCCGATCTTGGAAAAGATTTCGACGCGCTCAGAGCAACTTCGAGTTACACGAAGAAAAGACATCCCGCAGCACGAGATCGTTCGAGAAAAGAATAAGAAACCTTCTGAAGGTACTTGTTTGGAGAATGGGCTCTATGAAACACGAGGATGCCTTCCCCTCAGAAGGGGAGGAATCAGATTGAGGGGCGAGTGAGCTATTTGAAGGGGCGCACTCAAGCGGAGCTAGCGGGATTGTGTGGCCGTTCTTATTGTCGATTACTGCCATAATCCCAAGGGAGAATGTAAAAGTAATCGATGCACTCCTTTGGCTAATCAAAAGCGGATGCTCGCGTATGCGACTTCTTCGCAGACGTGGTCGTCTATTTGAAGTGACCAAGATGACGTACCAAAGATGACGTTTTGAGGCCTATTAGGGCTTGCAGAAGCAGACCGTTTGGAAAGCGAACCACAGAAAATCTGACAGTCGATCGGATCTGTACTAGCGTGGGGCCTAGTTGCGGTTACTGGAGCTTCGTGATCTGGGTTCTCTGGACAATCAATCTTCGTCAAGCCTCAAACACAGTGTACATTCGCAGAGCTAGAAACCCACCTCATCGTCACAACACTTGCAGATGTTCCACAGCGGCCGGTTCTGCCACGGTACGAACCGGTCTTCCTCTTCCACTGGGGAGGGACCCGGCGCAATTGCGTTATCCTCGCTGCCCCCGTCGTCATCTTCGTCTTCTTCTGCGGAGTAGCCAAATGCCCCGGCCTGCGATAGATGAGATTCGCTCGTATGCTGTTGTGCGGGAGCGGTTCAAAATGAGCTCACACTTGGATCCAGACTTCCAAAGCTTGAAAGCGTGACAAAATTGAAAGTTGAGTTTCGTGTCTCCGAAAGAAAGGAAGGGGAGCAAGCTTTGCTGTGCTCTTGTTCTGAGCCGCTTCATTCAAACAGCCTAGAAAGCGCAAATGAAGCACAAATCTAACAACCGGAAACAACCAAAATGAACGCGTCAAGTAGTTTTGAACGAGTGGTTTCTTGGCGTATTACCTGAGCTCAGCTCATCTGCAGCCAAGCAGCAATTGTTTCCAGCATCCCTGGTTAGCCTTACTAATATTCCGAGTTAATCCGGGTTACTTCTATGCTTACCTCCTGAAATTCCCCAAACCCACTCATGAACAAGCCGGCGGCTATGAACAGCAGGATGACCGTCGAGATGTAGAAGAACCACCTCAACTGTACGGGCTTCAACCTGCAACACGGAAAAAGCAATCACGTTCTCATCTTCATTTTGCAGATGCCTTGGTTTCATCTCCTCACCGGACTCCTTTAGATGAATGTAGCTTGCGTGCGATGAAAAAGTGGACTGTCAAGTATTGAAAAGGTAGCTTGCTCTGGGGGTTGCGTCACTAGGCTTTACGTGAAAGGCTGAGAAGGAAGACTGAGAGAAGCCTGAGTAGAACGAGCATCGTTTTGGACCCTTAACATTTGGTGTTAATTGAAACAAAGGGGGATTTCAAATTCAAAAAGCCACTGGACTTTGTAAGAGTCCAGGTGTCGATCAGTCCGTCCAGCGAAGAGACAAACGAAAGTACAGAAGTGAAGAAAGTCAAGAGACCCGTCGAGGAAGATTGCCTCGCTTTCCCAGTGCTGATGCTGTGTCCGGCGTGCGGGAAACCGTCATAACAAAGCCTGCTGAAAAGGTTGACCAGAGACAAACTAACTTCGCCCAGCTGGTGATAAGGACGTGACCTAGTCTTAAGCAGATCGCTGACCTCAGAATGTCTCTATGCAATGCAGAAGGTTCGGGTTACCGGATGGACTAGCTGACCCGAAAAAGAGCACGTAACCCAGGCACACTCCCAGAACGGCCCCCACAGCTCCTCCCAGGGGGATGGCTCGCCAGGGCGTGTTGACCCCCACCCCAGCCAGAAAGAGCACCGACTCGATGCCCTCCCGGAGGACCGCTGTGAAGGCAATGATGAAGAGCGCGTATGTGACCACGAACTTCCTTTTGCCGGTCTCCACGACCTGCAAACGAGTGAAAATAATATGTTATCAAATTAAATCATGAAATTAATATACTACTCTTCTGCTTGTGAGAACTCAGGTTATCTCGTCAAGTTTCAAAGGTATGCCGTTTTGCTGGGCAAGCACTGTAATTCCTTTGCGTGGAAGGTTTACTTGACATATAAACACAGGGAGAGTAGGTGTCAAATATCGCGTTAACCTGCACATTCAGCGTAGCAGGTAGCAAACTCTGCTTGACCGATCAAGGGACGTCTACTGCAGACACACAAGCAGCCAAAATCTGGCCTACCTTTGCACAGAAAGAAAGCCTGTACTGTTGTTTTGAAGCTTTCCCGTCTGCATGAATCCCATCAACAGGGCAGCGGTGCGCCGCAGGATTCAAACAAGACTTGAAGTTACGGAGTTTTGCAACTCCCAGATTCTAACTTCTCACAGTAGCCAGATTGAAAACAAGACGGCTCAGAGAGATCAAATCAAAGGACTCCGAACCAGGCCTCGCTTCTGGTAACCCACCTCTAGCGTTGCGGCCTTGAGCTTCCGGTCCCACTTCTTCTGCAGCTCCATCATCTTAAGCATACCAAAGGCCAGGACTGTGATCATTACCGAGGCAATGATACATACGATGCCTTCAAAGATGGCCTCTCCTTTCCCAGTGAACACTTCGTGGTCAAGCGTGTAGTATATGATGATGAAAACCACGGCGAAGACGAGCGAGAGGAGGAAGCCCAATCCGGCGCCCAGCCAGACTGCAAGAAAAACGGGAGCAGGTCAGAGAGACACAAGAAACCCCGAGTCTAGTTGTTGAAAGGCCTTTCAACCGAGCTGAAAGTGCGTTACTGGCGGAATGGTGTTTGAAATGACCAATTCCTAACCAGCCTTGAGTAACAGGGCTTAATCCCTGCATAAGTTGGGGATATTATAAGCTGAAAAGCACAAAGTCAGGAAAGTGGTAATTCCGAAGATGTGTGAGACGGAAGTGGGGCAGTGTGTGGGGGTCTGTTGACCTATCTCTGAGCAAAGCTATGCAGGTTTGTGGGCAGGGAGGAGGCAAGAAACTTTCATGCACTTTGTTAGAGATGTTGCAGCAAGCTGGGATGGGTATTGAGGCTAGTCATGGGGGGCAGTTTCAAGCGACACCCAGCAAACATCGACCAATTTCATCACATATAACGGGGCTGAAATCCTCACATCCCCTAACTAAGCTGAACCCCGGTCCTTACCCGGTCATTCAGCTGACTTTATGAAGGTTATAGAAATCCTGAATCTGCTCAAGCAACCAGCATTGACACAGTCTTCTATCTATCAATACAAGAAGCCTTCCAGCCACGGCCACTGAAGCCAAGCCTGATGGGATGCTCTGGAGCTCACCTTGTTTCCTCAGGTGCAGCTTCCCCGTCTTGGTCACGTACTGCAACAGCACCGCTAGAATGACCGCCGCCTCCATACACTCTCTGAACATCACAAACATTGCCGTGACGCTGAAGACATTGTCGCTCCCCATTGTTGCTCAGATGAGGTCCGACGACGATCAGGGGGCAAATGTGGGGCGGAATAACGTCAGCTGGAAGCGCAATCGGAGAGTCTATCGAGGAATTAGCCTGAAGGGTTGGAATCAGCTATAGCTAATTATAAGCAGCTGAGAAGGATGGAGATCAGGGACACAGGCACCAATGTAGTAGAGAGGCAGTTCTATAATTTTGGTTGTTATCACTTCTGCTGATCAGTGTTCAGCTTGAGCAATTATTGCAAAGCGAAGGAATGCTGCTGCGTTCACTGCCTGGTTACCCCTCAGCAGAATATTTCGCCCTCTCTGTCAATTGACGTGCCGCCTATATACCCAAAAGAGGAGGTGAAAGGCAGACTTCCATTCATCTGTTATCATCGACAGAGCTCCGGACCCACCGTCAGTGAGCCTGAATGCTGCAGTACAGGCGCTGAGCCTGTACGGTACGGTATAGCGGGTTGTTCTTGTAGCGCAGCTCGATTCACTCGAGCATTCCGGATCCCCTGAGCTGCAGTAATGCTGAATACATCAATTCAGCCGTTGCCACTGCATATGCTTATGGTATGCATGCTGGGATGGCAAAGAATGCTCCCCACAGTGCGCATATGAGGATGAACGAGTATGGTGGACACACGCTGCATGTTGACATCGCAATTCGGCACAGGTAGGTAAAACCCGCACCAAATATCTATCCAATTTCCGCCAGGCTGTCGTAAAGCTGGCACCGGATTGGACGATTTCTGGTCTTTACTGCGTGACACGTACGCGGACTGGCATATGTACAGGCAACCCAGCCTCACAGATTTTATGAGGAATCTCTTATATTACCCAAGGCCGGCAATTGGCAAGTAAGTCCATGACGGAACTTCCAGTTCGGTATGGAGAATCTGCTCAGAGCTTATGGTAAATTTGAATCCCCGGGCGGTTGTCACAGGGAAGTACCGGGCACACTAAAAACCTAGGAAAAATTGACCGCCACACACTAATGTTACTGGGAGGTGCCCGGTTGTCACCCGGTTGCCCGCGAGACCCTAATGTCACAGGGAGGGCCCGGTTGCTCTCCGGGTAGTGTGCGAGACCCTAATGCTAGTGGACTTGCAGTGTTGGTGGCACCCGGGGCAAGCCGTCGCGGACCACCACCCCACCCCCTCCAATTAGGGGCGCCGCCCTTATCAGGCTTACGTACTGCAATCCACACGGTCGCGGCGAGCAATTCTTTGTGGGTCAAAACGGTCGCTTCGGCCGTCCTTCACGGTCGATATTAGGCCGTGCACTGCCGATCGGACGGCGCAGATACCTCGCCGTGGATATGTTGCTCAATGCTGAGCCCGGGGCCCGCCGGGCGGCAGCACACCGGGTGGCACATATCCGCGCCGGCGGCAGCCTAATTCTTCATACACCCTTTTCAAATATCTCATACCAATATGGAAGTTTCGTCATTGACTTATGGCAATAATACCGTTTTCCGGACGTGGGTAAAATGAGAGATTCCTCATAAAATCTGTGAGGCTGGGTTGGTACAGGACCGGCTCCATCGGAGTTTCCGATCTATTGACTGCTGGGGCCGGCGGCCGGGCCGGCCGCGGCACCGGCCGGGCTGACGGTCGGCCTCGCCTCAGGTGCCGCCGGCGCTAGCTGATACTGATACTGTTACTCAGCTATCTATACTGTATAATTGCAACTGCTAAAAACTACACGCGAGGAGCGGCTTTCTCAGTAAGTGCTCGGATATGCATACTAATAAGCTGCAAGAAGTTGGACTGCTGATGAACGTACGATGTTCTGCGATCGGGTCACCTGATTTGCCTAAAGACAATATGTCTCAGTTCTTCGCGCCCTTGCTAAACCCCTTTCAATTTGGCTCAGACCTGAACTTTCATCCCACTAGGCTCTGATTCAACTTCTATTTTATCGTGTGAAGCAGCCGAAGCAGCCCAATATATAGGAATAGATCGTTGATACCCAGTGACGTTTGTCTACAATTGGGGCACCTTTGCATGCCAGAAGGCAATATGTCTTCTTCGCGCTGGGTCTTATAAAATCCCGGTTCAATTTTGCTCAGACCCAGTGGACTTTCATACCACTAGGCTCTTCTTTACCTTCTATCATATCGTGTCAAGCAACCGAAGCAGCCCACAACAATAGATCGTCGACTATTAACCTTTTTCTAAAATGCCTACTGATCTCAACGTTTACGACTGCATAGCCGGTGCCTACGAACGTTCATCACGTTTTATTCCGCGGCAGCAACCGGCAGTCTTCGCAAGCGGCCAAGAAAGTCATCCGGCCGGGCGGCGTCCCTCTTGCGCTAACAAAATAGGAACGTTTTTTGCGGGCCCTAAAATTAGCTTGACACGCCACCGTGCAGTTTCACAGTCCCTGGTAACTCCCGGAGGCGCAGGTGGCGTGTCCGTTTGCAAACGGACCGCACCCCCGGTTGTCGCAGCAAATGAAGCCGGATCCATCTGGGCCGTAGCACTGCCAGGAAAAGGAAAAGCGCGCGCTGTTCAGAGCAAGGAACCGCCGAGGATCCACAGGGGTTTTTGGCAATTAACCATAGTCGGTTACGGGCTGGTTCAAAGCTGGTTAACGGTCCAATAACCAAACTCGAGCAGTAACCATGATTTTTACATGGCTGTAACGCGGTTATTGGTCAGAGAACCACACTAAATTCTGGTTATCAAACCTGGTCAGCAGCCAAACCTTCATGTGATCGAAAGTTGAAGAAGCGCAACCGAGAAGAGATGGCAAGGGATACAGGTCTTGCCCAACCCTGAAGGGAAAAGCAGAACAAGACAAACGGAACGGAACAGAGCCAGCCGGGGCCGGAACGCACGCGCGCGTCAAAGGACAAACAAAATCACGAGCAGATCACAATCTCGTTGCACCAACCTGGTTGGGGAACTGGCCCTGGAAGTCGCAGAGTCCGCCGCGCGCTGCAACGGAAGAAGAAAGTGGCGGGACCCGTTAGTGGGCTTTTAAACCGGACGGCGAAAGAGAGTGCGGCACTCGACGACTGGAGACAAACGCGGCTGCCGCGAAGCTCGTAAGAGTCTCTGAGTCCCTGACTTATGGAAAGGTCTGATGCCAATTCGGAAAGACGTTTGCGTGACTTGGGCGCCAAGCAAGAACTGAAATTCGCAAGGTCTGATTTAGCGAACCAACACGCGAACGAGAGTCGATTCTACAGTAGTAGCCTGTACCTCCGATTGTGGTCTGTCAAGCGGATCTTCGAAGGGGTAAGCAGCCCGTCTTAATCGCGGCCACTCTAATCCGCCTACTCCAAGACAACTCGATTTTCCGAGTCGCTTCCCGCCCGCTACAGAGCCGCGGCACCTGTATCCGATTTGCATCGAACATTCCCTGCCGATGGGTCTAGCATAAAATGAGTCATTCGAATCAAGCCGCTAACCTGGGCTCGGGTTGGGAACGGCACCCGGCGCAGAGGTCGGGTTAACCGGGGCGGGGGTCTGGTTGACCGGAGCCGAAGTCGGGTTAGCTGGTGCCGGAGTCGGGTTAACGGGTCCCGGGGTAGGGTTAACCGGTCCTGGGGTCGGGTTAACCGGTCCTGCGGTTGGGTTAACCGGTCCCGGGGTCGGGTTAACGGGTCCAGGGGTGGGGTTTGCAGTCGGAGAAGCGGTTGTGGGGCTCGGGTTAGTGGGAGCTGCGGTGGGGTTTGAGACCGGGGCACCGGCGTACCGGTTGCTTGCACACGTGGCTCGTGACCCGGAGAAGGGGCCGCACCCACTGCCGTCACAGCAGACGAAGGTATCACCGCCTGGGGCGTAGCACTGGACAATAAGGAGGGTTTGGTTTAAATGGGTTAGCGACCCGAATTGAGCGTGAATGTGGAGAAGGAAAGTCAGCTCACGGTACGCTGTGAATCTTTCTCGCCTGTGGCATAAGAGTGGACGAGCACTTGATTAATAAAACCGATTAGTGGTCGGCCGGTTACAGGCGTGAAAGCTCAGGACACAGGTTTGGCTGCCGCAATCAAAGGCGGTGGTCCGAGAGACAAACATACCAAAAATGTCACCATTTACGAGACTGTGAAGGATGCAAGCGACCGAGTAGAAATGGAAGTGCGAACAGCGCACGAGCTATCGGGCTGCAATTTGGGAACAGGGAGACACCCACGGTATTGTTTAACCCATAAGAGATTACCTACCTGATTTGGAAAACCGGCCACTCCGACACAAGTTCCACCTGCAAAACAGGACAGGGAATGTCAACATCCAAGGAAAGATAATCACGTCAGAGCTCTTTTAGATAGATGGGATATACGCAGAGGGCCTCGAAGCCGTGACTTTGATTGTTGATTGCCTCCTCACGAGACACTCAACACCACGATTGGGTGACGCGAATTGTATCTTCTGACCATTCGCCCTTTCAAAGAAGGTCGCTGGCTGGGGAAAGTAAGGAGCCGACTCGGAGCGTCGAGCATTGAACCGGATAACAGCATCATGTCTAAAGGCTAACGCCTAAGTTTCACGTCCCAGCTTCGCGGGCTTCTAGAATGATGCGAACGGCAACAAGACATTGCTTGACCTGAACAAGGAAAAGACGTTGGCTCGATCCCCGCAAGACCAAAACGGCAGGTACTTCGGAAGACTCATCCACCGGAAACCGTGAAAGGTGAGTAAAGATTTGAGATCAGAGCAAACGAATTCTTGCAGAGGCGGCATAGCTTTGTGGGTGATTTAGCAAACTCACCCGCTGGGGAGGGGGCGGGCGTGCCGGAAGGCGCGTTTGCTGCGTAAGAAAACGGTGAGCAGTTTGAGTGTCGTTGCAGTCCATAAGTAAGTAAATTTCTCAAAGTGTAATATTTCACTTGCTTTCAGATATCATTACCATATCCAATCGGAACGCATGATTGCACCCATATCAGTCGATGCACGGCCGCGATCCGTTGTTTTCGCAGCGACCATTGGTGCGAGATGCGCTAGCCGTGCACTTGGAAGGCGCAGCTGTCGCAGCAAGCTCGCAGCAAGCCTTCGCCTAAATCTAAGAAGATAGATATCAGGGGGCGACAGAAGAAAACAGACCTGGAGTAATTGTCAGGAAAGCTAGCGGCGATGCCGCGAAACAGCGCATGACTGCAAACTCCTTTAAAGGCTCAACCGCGCCCTTCGCAAGAGCTCGTCCCCGAAAAAAGTGTTAGCTTCAGGAACAGATCCGCTGAAAGAGACGACTAGCTCTGCTAGGGCGTAAAATTCGGAACCTGCAAGTGTGTATTAAAAGACGCACTGCAGAGATGACGGGTTTGGCAAGAGCGAACCTGGATGCGACCATGCTGTCATATTATCGCCGTGGATTTTTTTTGACCCTGAAAAGCTGTCGCCAAGGAAACGCGGAAGCTTAAACTTCAGAGGCAATAAAGGCCGTTGAGGCTGTTCAAGTTGAAGTAGACTTACTGGGTGATGACGTGGCAGTTGGGGTGGAAGTCGGGCTCGCTGACGTGGCGGTCGGGGTGGGGGTCGGGCCTGCTGACGTGGCAGTCGGGGTAGGGGTGGGCGTGGCAGAGGAGCCGTTGAGGCTCAGAACAACGTTTCTCATTACTGCAAGAAGAGAACAACGAAGGTAAAGTCAATTGGACCGCGCGTTTGAATAAGAGGCGTCCGCGAAAAGGATGCTGTGGTTCGACACCGGCCGTCACGGTGCCGTCACACGAAGAGTGTCGGTAATGGCCTCCGTCAAAGCGGGGCTCTAGGTGGCGACCTTCGCATGCGGATCCAACGCCAGAATGCGCTGGAGGCTGGAAACCGGGCGCGGCCCCTTCCAACAATGACAAATTGCGACATTTCGGCGTCGAGTCGGAGCTCTTGGTGGCGACCTGCTAACAATTAGGATTAGGCCAAAGTGTCGCTGCGATTGCGGCGCCCAGTTCCGCCTCTGAGCTTGGAGCCGGCGGCAGCTTTACCGATTGTCCATGGGAGCTCTCTGGTAGTGACACGTGATTTTACGTGGAATGAATCAATAACTTCGCCGTTCCTCGGCGGCGCCTCTCAACATTATTCAAGCGAGCGAAGATTTACCCGGCAGCTGGATTGGACATACCGCATTCCGGCGGCCAGTTCCGCGAGGAACGAATTAGCCATAAACGTCGCTGCAAACTAGAATTCGCTTTCGTTATTACGCTCGTCTTACCTCCCGGGGTTTCAGGAACGGTGAAGCTTGTTGTCGTTGTGACGCCGCCGACGGTAATCTTCGCTTCGAAGTTGCCGAAAAAGGCGTTGAACGTCGGCAGCCGTCCGCTACTGTCGGTTGTGCCGGTTCGAGGCGGCGTTGTGAACTCGTTCTTCAGAGCCTGCACGAGACAGTTTGATTTCAGCTTTGATTTGAAGCCTTCAACCAACACCCTGCAAGCATCATCTTCTTTTTCAGCAATCGTTTAAGACGGTCTTAACCGAGAATAAGAAGCATCATCTTCGTCTCTATCCCATCTTTATCCCGTCTTTATCCCATCTTTATCCCGTCTTTATCGCTTTGAAGTGGACTTCGAGCATAAAAAGAGATTGCGGGTTTACCCGGTGCTGGTGGCATACGGGGAGGGCGGCCTCGATTGCCGTCTTTTCAAAAAGGAAGAAAGGCGAGATTATCCACAATAATCCGCAACCATTCGCGTCAAAAAAAGGAATGGAGTAACGACAAGCAAAACTGACCATCACTCTCTGCCCGGTGTTGCACCGGCGGCATTCAGCGTGAAGTCTAGGTTGACAAGGCACGCGTTGCACTGTCCGCCGTTCTTGGCATACGCAGACGGCGGATGGTTCTTGTACCGAATAGCCAGAAGGAACAAGCCAGACCGATCCACAACGATCGCAACAATACGTACTGAAATAGGGGATGGAGAATTAACGAGCAAGACGTCCCATCACTCTCTGCCCGGCAGCATTCAGCGTGAAATCCAAGTTGACCAGGCACTCGCGGAAGATGAACTCCAGATAGTCGGCGCGCTTGTTGACGTCCAGGATATTGACGTTCACTTCGGACATCCAAATGGGAATGCCGGCGCTCGCGATCTTGTCGAGGCGGGCGCGTAGCTGGAGGGGCTCGACGCCCAAAAATTGGCCCTGCGGAAGCATTATCACCTCATTAGTCTTTTAGTGTATTGAAGGAGGTACCATTCATCTTGAGGAACATGAGAAAACAAGTCCAACTCGCAGGAGGTGAGTAAGTTGTAGGAGCGCGCGCGCAGCTTGGAGTGGTCGACCTGCATGGATGGCCTTTTTGAACGATTACTCTTACATTGAAAGACGTTTAGATACAAAGAGGAAGATGTAATATCCAGGGAAAGCAAATCTAGACGAGTCCAGATTGTAGGCGTCGGCAATCTTGTCGAGGCGCGCGCGCAGCCGAAGGCGCTCAAATCCCAGGAACTGGCCCTGCAGAAAGATTGTCCTTTTAGAGTGGTTTCGAAGTTCTAATACTGTCGAGAACCAATCTTAACGACTTTCCCTCTCCTCCTGAAACAAGAGGAAAGATATGCAAACCGCAGGATCTGCAATCTTATTGTCGCGAGCGCGCACCTGGAGGGGCCCAATCGAAAACCCAAGTGACATCAGCGGGGCTCGTTCATTTTGATAATTTTGTGAGAGTTTGGGGCCAGTAAAAGCACTTACCTGAAAGGCCAGGATGTCGATTGGGAGCCCACGTGACGTCAACGCATTGAGCTGCTGCAGGTAGAACTCGGGATAGGCTACGGGATCGGAGCACGTCTCCACCAAGTTGTAGTCTGCAAAGAACAACGAAAGTGGATTCTCGACTCGACAGCGACATGATGTTGACGAACAATATTTTGCCAGCTCGTTATAACGAGATTCACCGAGAATTCTCAATCGGAGCATGTCCCCATGAGATCGAAAAACAAAATCAGCAGAAATCATCGTTGTACACTTACCCCCTAGTATTTCCCGCGGCTCAAAGGATCTGATTGGTCGCCTTTCGTACGTTGTTAGACGTCAACGGAGCAAAAGTGAAAATCCACTAGCTTATTAACAGCGAGATTTCAAGGCATGCTTAATCTTAGTGTCGAGCTTTCTTCTACATACCGTTGAGGGCGTTCTTCACGCTGGGGTCGATCTGCTTCACGGCTGGGTACATCCAGTCATCGATTGCGTTTCCAAGTTTGTTCTCGTAGTACCTGGGCAGGAAAATTGCTCAACTTAATATGATAAGCAAGAGATTCCATGGTGATTCAAATAAAGATGTGGAGGCTCCGTTCTTAACAGGCTTCATGCACGGATGATTCTTGAAAGCTGCTACCTCGCCGGACCTTGAAAGATGGCCAGAAAAACAGTTTCTCGACACCCGAAGGCTTGTCAGTCTAGGGGCACGGACAGGCTGAGGGTTTTGCCCCGAGGCGCTTCTGCTCCCGGGACGGAACGGACCGAAACGGAACGGAAGGAACGGGACGGATCATGCACCAGTCATGCACCGGGGATCCGTCCCGGGGTGCGGGACAGCTGCGCTCAGGCGACCGGGCACGAGCGCTCGGCCCTCTTCCAGCGCCTGGTGAATACTGGGGCCGAGGCAATCGTAGTGGCTTTTAGGGGCCACGCACCTGTCTGATTGGGCTCCATCCGCAGCCTTCTGGGCTGATCTAGACCTATAAGCTGGCCTGATTTTGCTTCTGAGTAATTTCATCGAAGTCGGTCAAAGTCGGGCTCAATGTTGGGATGTTTCTCGCTAGCAGGATTCGAGTCAGCCGTTTTGGGGACGTGTTTCCCAGGGCATAGGGGTTCAATGGAAGACTCACCCTCCTTTAAACTGCTCGTTATTGACATCCCAGTGAATGACCTGCAACCAGTGCAGTACCGCCGTTCAGAGAGAGGGGAAATAGTAGCGCTGTCGTGCGATATGACGTCCTTGCGAGATGACGTCCTTGACATGCGATCATGGTCAGAATGAAAAAGATATGTACAATCATAGGCACACATCATCATCTCATGATCCTACTACCTATATATATACTACCTATAACTACCCTATAGGTCGTCGATCTTGGTCCTCTGAGGTACTTGGACGATCTTGG